TTAGTTTAACGACCAAGTTTCAGGGCAATCATTAGTAGTATAACGACTACTTTTCATTTGGTTTTACATCAATCTGTAATATTGTAACATAACGGTTACGTGGATGTTCATAATAACCAATATTTTTTCAGCACCAAACATTTAATATTGAGTACTTACATTCGCTCTCAGAATCAGAATCTCCCGAACCACTGGAGCTTTCCAGCTTTCATCTGAATCTACGCTGCTTTTAATTGTTTGAGAGCCTCTACGATTTCGTCGTACTTCCTTCTTCTTGCTTTTTTAACGTCGTCCCTCGACATTTCATTTCTTTTCCTTTTTGGCATATTTAAATAAGAGAAAAAAACACTTAAATCACTTTTTTAAATAACACTATTTCAGCGAATTTATACCGGCAGGTACAAATAACGAAGTGAAGCCACGACATTCCTTTGTCGTTGGGTTGGTTTTTGTGTTTATGTTAGAAGTTTTTTTGCTTTGAAATGTACCGGCCAGGTATGAATCAGCGATACTACGAGTGTAATTACCAAGGAAGAAAAGCGAAGTAAAATTGATTAATTATTAACTGAATTACAGATTTTTTCTAAAATTATTAGGGGACTGCTGGCTTTACGTTTACATATTGGTGTGTCAGAATGGAAAAAAACTTCGGGATCTATATAATAATTAGGTGCTTTTTAGGTGCTAATTAGGGCCTCTTATTAAAAATTAGGTGCTCGTTTAGTTTTTGAGAAAATCAAGAAAAACTAATGGACTGCTAGGTTTATGGATGCTAGCAGTCCCCTATATACTATTTTTTTTTTTTTAATTAGAGGCCCTAATTAGCACCTCAAAAGCACCTAATTATTATATAGATCCCGAAGTTTTTTTCCATTCTGACACACCAACATGAATACGTAAAGCCAACAGTCCCCTAATAATTAAAAAAAATCTGTAACTCAGTTAATAATCAATTCTATTTTTTCTTGGACTACATAGGAACGCCTAAAAAGCACCTAATTCTGATACAAAGAAAAAATTTGAAAAATATTTTTTACTATAGGGGATTGTAAGCTTTTATAAACCTAGCAGTCCCTTAGTTTTTTTTTGATTTTCTCAAAAACTAAAGGAGCACCTAATTTTTAATTAGAGGCCCTAATTAGCACCTAAAAAGCACCTAATATTACATTGATTATATAGTTCCCGAAGTTTTTTTCCACCTCGGGACTGCTAGGTTTATAGACCTGAAAATTTTAGGATTCTATCTATAATAGAAAAAAAGTTATGACCTTCCAAAGTTTTCTAAAATCTGAATCATAAGGTACCTTCTTACTAAAATGATGAAAAGTTAATTTTTTTATGTTAAGATTTTGTCTCCTTATGGTCTTTTGGAATCCCCCAAACTCTATACACTAAATTATTCTGAGATTTGGAGCCGAATTCTATGAATAAAGGCACTCAGAAAAATTGAAAAATTGAAAAAATCACCCCAAATTGCTTAACACGATTTTATTTCTGGAACTGAGTCCAAATGAGCTGAAACTTCTAGAGATTGAAGTCCTCTATTGGGATAAGAATCGCTGAAAATTTCAGTTTGATCTTTACTGAAAATGTCTGGCAATACAAAGTATTTTGATGCCTATTCATTGTGGAAGTTGTTCTAAAACAAAGAAAAATAAAGTGTTGGTAAACACAAATGACACCAATGGGAATCCAAAAACTGATCAAATTACACTTTCACAGGTTAATAAAGCAGTTGACTCGGCTTTACAATCTAGTACGACTTCTCTGAGATTTCATTAAACCAGAATAATTGAATCGATAGTCCAGATTTTGAGGGAATTGCACGGAGAATTGTTACTGATCCCCAAGATAGTATTACTGGTCTACCCAAGAAAAAATGGCTCCATGTTGGCCAAGTCAAGAATACTGCCACATAAATCAGTCGCTGATTATATCAAAGCAATAGCCAATAGCAATAACAATGATGAGATTGTAGTCACTCAATTTGCTGCAAAGAGTAACATGAAATCCTTTAATAACGAAATATTGCGCAAAACTGGAATCTGACAACTTTTGGCTTGAAAATGTCAACGTTAGGGACTATAGTCCAAGCCCAGGAAATCATTTCAATCATTTCAATAGACTTCATCAGAGATGGCACAATGGAAGAGACAATAATTATTATATTTTCAGTCAAATTTTCAGATGAATCAGAAGTACAGACAGAGGCATTAGTGTATGCCTATTATCAAAATGTCAACGGGATTCGTATTTTATTCACTGAAACATCACTCAACTGATATATTTAAGATAATGAACTAGGATTAGATAACTACAACATCTATAGAAGACAGAAATAGTGAAATAACTGGAAAGTAGAGAAATGAAGGTGTCCTTATAGCAGTGAAAAATGGTTTTTGATTTGAGCAGTTGAGTAGGTATCTCACAGGATGACTCCGAAGAAATTTGGGTTTTAGTTACTGTTATACCAAACACATAAGAAAAGTAGGTATTTTGTTGTGTATATATTCCGCCCTCATCAAGTAAAGACGTCTATGAAAAGCATTGTGAATTAGTGGAGAGAGCTGCTCACCAATATAGCAAGCATAATTTATGTATTGCTGGAGACTATAATCTCCCTAATTTAAAATGGTCCAACGACTCAATGGGAGTCTTAATTGATGGACCAGCTTCAGAAAGTTTGACTGAAACTTTTCCTCACTTGAACCTTTTTCAACTGAACAACATAACAAATTATAGAGGTGTTTTTAGATTCAATTTTCGGTGATAACGAGAGTGATAAGGTCTTTTGTGCTAGGGAAAATTTAATAAAATGTGATAGGCATCATTCTGTCCTGGTAATTGACATTAAATGTAATGGTAGTTTTAATGGTATAGAAAATGAAAATGAGATTTACAATTTTAAATAATGTAACTTTGGTAATATTAGTCACATTTTAGTTAATATTAACTGGGATTCAATTTTTGATAACTGTGATATAGAAAGTAATATTGAAATGTTTTATAAGATTCTGTATAGTGTAATTGACCATGTTGTTCCTGAAATAAACATTAGTAATCGTTATAAATTTCCACCATGGTTTGACGCTGAATTAAAGTGTTTTCAATAAAAAAATTGCACATAAAAGATTTAAGCATACTAAAGACCCTAATGACTATGCCAATTTTTGTGCTCTCAGCGATCTGTGCAAAAGAAAAGCTAAATACTGCTACAATAATTTTATAAATAGAATTGAGAATAATATAAATGTTGATCCTAAATCAATCTGGAGATTTATGCGTATGACAAGAGCAAACAAATAATATAGGTACCTTTTTCCTTAAAATATGAAAATAGATCTAGTAATGATGATCAGAGTACCTAATGCTTCATTATTTTCAAAATATTTTTCATCTGTGTATACAGAGTCTAACCATGAAGTTCACTTTAACTTATTGGAAAATAGTTCTATCAAAGGTTGGTTTGTTTATTATTGGGATTGGCAATGTTTTTCGGGAATTTTCATTAAATTATGGTTGATAAAGGTGCTGGGCCAAATGGTATAGCCCCTTTGTTTATAAAAAATTGCGCATTTGCATTGTCAAGACCTTTATGGCTTTTATATAACAAATCTTTAGAGTCAGGAGTATTTCCAGATGTATGGAAGATCTCATTTGTTACACCAATTTTTAAAAATAATGATTCCAGAAACGATGTTGAAAACTATAGACCAGTTACCATAATGTCTCATTTTCCTAAGGTTTTTGAATGTATTTGTTAAGCTGGATTTATACTGCAAATAAAATAAAATAAGATAAAATAACAAATAAGAAATAACAGTTAACCTAAATGAGATACCCTTTAAAGTATTTATACAGAAAATAACAAATAAAATAAGAAATGCATGTATTTGATATTTTATCTTATGTTATCTTATTTTATTTCATTTGCTGTATAAATCCACCTTTAGTCAGTATTTGTGTTCATGTCTCAAAGGAATTATATCTGATAAGCAACATGGTTTTATGAAAGGGAGATTAATCAACAAATCTGCTTATTTATCAACATACCATTTCTAGTGCTCTTGAACAGGGATATGATATGAAGTCGATACAATTTATACAGATTTCGAAAAGGCTTTTAACACAGTTGATCTCAATATATTACTGATAAACCTGTCATATTATGGTGTTAATGGTGGTATTCTTGGTTATGGTCGAAGTCTTATTTAATGGGTCGAAGGCAAACAGTTGAAGTGAAATCTTTTCTATCTGACGAGTATAGTGTCACCTCGCGTGTCCCCCAAGGTGGCCATCTTGCTCTGTTACCTACTCTCCAACATATTTATAAATGACATAGTAGACTGTTTCTAACATTGTAAGATATTGCTGTATGCAGATTATTTTCAGGGATTAGAGTCCTCTACTAGGATAAGAATCGCTGAAAATTTCAGCGCAATCTTTAATTGAAAAAAAAAATATGACCTTCCAAAGTTGTCCAAACTCTGAATCATAAGGTAGCTACACACTTCAGTACCTACTAAAACGATAAAATTTGTTGAGATTTTGTGTCTTAATGGTCCTTTGGAATCTCCCATACTTCATATATTGAATTATTCGGAGATTTGGAGCCAGATTCTATGAAAAGAGGCACTCAGGAAAATTGATAAATCATCCCAATATGCTTCGATTTTATTTCTGGAACTCTAAGTCCAAATGAGCTGAAACTTCCTGGAATTGTAGTCCTCTATTGGGAAGAATCGCTTCAGCTTTCTATCTTTAATAGAAAAAAAGTTATGACCTTTCAAAGTTTTCCAAAATCTAAGTCATAAGGTGGGTTAGGTACCTCAGTACCTACTAGAACGATGAAATTTCAAGTTTTTTTTGTCGAAATTTTGGGTTTTAATGGTCCTTTGGAAGCCCCAAACTCCATACACTAAATTATTCTGAGATTTGGAGCCGGATTCTATGAAAAAAACCACTCTAAAACTACTAAAACGATGAAATTTCAATTTTTTTTGTACAAATTTTGTGTCGTAATGGTCCTTTGGGACCCCCCAAACTCCATACACTGAAATATTCTGAAAAAAATTGAAAAATTGCTGAAATCAAACCATAAACCTACTCAAAAACTCTATTATATTTCACAACAAAACGGTAAATAAATTAATTAATAAATACATACCCAACAGCAAATATTTTTTCTCCTATAAGGTATAATAGTTTTATTTGAAGAGAGTAGACGACCGTTTTACCTATTTTATCTAGTTACAGTATAAAATGTATTGGAATATGACACATGAAAGCGTAAAGTAACAAAAATTTATGACATTATGGTATAAAGCCTTTGTATAGCTTTTAAGGGCTGATAAAACTCTATACCTTCTTTTCCAATATTATGCATTCATACAACAACTCGATAAGGTCAAATGATCGCCACCCCTTATTTTATATAATATATTTTTCTAAAGGCCTATCTGTATTTACATTATATTTTTAGATATTTTACGCAATTCGTTTAAAATTGTACAAGAGGAGGAGTAATTCTAAAATTTTAGCCTAAGGTGTATTTGGTATCAATTTTAAATTAAGCAAAAAAAACATTTGTACATTTTTTTCATCATCAAATTTCATTAATATCTGAAGCTCTTGATATGGTACAATAAATTTTGTGTATAATTAAGTTGTTCCCCAAAAAGACTTTCTTTTGCAGTTGAATTTTTATATTTACATTCTTTATATTTTATCACAACCGCTGCATATTGCTATTCATCAATTTTATACAATAATTTAGATAATTCTTTGGTAAATATTGAAGAGAAGAAGCAATTATTATACACAAATGTATCTACTCGCTACTGGATTGGTCCAAAACGCTTATTTTAAAATACTATAATCATTGACTTTTTTTTTAATAAAATATATCCTAAAAATTCATATGAAAACGCGGCTTTAATAATAGTTTTTGGACAAAATATACGAAATCTTTGCAGTAATTAAACTAATCAGTCCAAAAAAGTAATATAGTTGTAGTAATATCAATATCTATCAAATAATAATAGGATGTTATTGATAGAACTCAATCAATTAATAAAGTAAGTGTTTCGCTTTCACATTACTTAGAACCCATAAGGTGCAGAGCAATAATTGTGATTGGAACCAAAATTTAAATGTGAAAACGAAACACAATCTACCCTTAACAAAATCATCCCTTCTTAAACCGAAGTCGTTATTTGTTCAATAACTTGTACGTTTCTCACCAAAGGTCGCCTATAAGAACCGCAATACTCCCATCTGGCTAAGCCTTCTGGCACGCTCTTGCTAGGTCTCAGGATACCTCGATGGTGAGGTCTTGGCAGTGAAGAAAAGCGTACTAAATCGTGATGGTTCACAGGAACATGGTGCTTTGGCGTGTGGTACGCAGAATGGTCAATATTGGCCGCGTAGCTGAGACTCTTTGGTAAATAGTGGATTATGTGTTCTGGAGCTTTTTGACGATAAGAATGCCTACAAGAACTCAAATTATTTTTGCGAAATTTGGAACAAATTTACTATTCACCTATGGAAATTATTCATGTTGGGTTTGTTGGCGTGAAAATCGTCAAAGTTCGAAAATATCCTTTCGTACTGGTTACTGCCTTGTCTACAAAAGTTGTACTGGATTAGTTCTGGAGTGGCTGCGCAGATACCGTTATACGCTCCAACACTGCAGACGCACTCGTTTATATTTGCAACTCCACCACAGCCGTTCAGATTGCAATTAGTTGCAGGACTAGCTTGCAGGCTTAGGTGGTCTTTCCTTGTGCCTACTAGGAACATTAGGCTTGCACCTGAAATAAATCTCATTATTATACAAGGTGTTTTTGAATAAATTGACACATTTTGCAGGTAGATATCTCTGAAACAAAGATAGATTTTCAAAAACTAACTTTTTTAAACAAAATTAAGGAGAATTTACCCTCTTACATTTTAATTTTTTTTCTGAAAAACTGGCAGAGGAAAAATTTTGAAAATCTTCCAAGAAAAAGAGGAAGGTGAGGAGCTCATTATAGGGAAATTTCGAAATTTTCCAGTGAGAAATAACTCCAGGGAAAATTCTGGCAAATTGACTTTTTCAAGTAAAATTAAAGAAACTTCACCTCTCATATTTCAATTTTTTTCTGGAAAATTGACAAAAGAGGAAACAAAGAAAAGTCAGGAACTCATTATAAGAAAATTTCAAAATTTTCCAATGGATAATCGCTCCAAGAAAAAATTTTGAAAAAATGACTTTTTCAAGGAAAATTAAGAGAAACTCATCCTCTCACATTTCAATTTATTCCAGGAAAACTAATAAAGCAACACTTGTGAAATTTTTCCAGGAGAAAGAAAAAAATGAGGAGCTCATTATAGGAAAATTTCAAAATTTTCTAGTGGAAAATCACTCCAAGGTAAGTCGAGAGGAAAGTTCTGAAAAATTGACTTTTTTTAGCAAAATTCATCCTTTCACATTTCAATTTTTTCCTAAAAAACTGGCAAAGCAATAATTGTGAAATTTTTCCAAAAGAAAAACGAAAGTGAGGAGCTCATTATAGGAAAATTTCAAAATTTTTCTAGTGAAAAATCATTCCAGGAAAAATTCTGAAAAATTGACTTTTTCAAGTAAAATTAAGGAAAATTCACTCTTACATTTTCTGGAAAACTAGCAAAGGGAAAATTTTGGAAATTTTCCAGCAATAAGAGGAAAATGAAGAGCTCATTTTACGAAAATTTCAAAATTTTCCAGTGAAAAATCACTCCAGGAAAAATTTTGATAAACTAACTTTATTAAGCAAAATTAAGGAGAATTCACTCTGGCAGAGGGAAAACTTTGAAAATTTTCCAGGAAAAAGAGGAAAGTGAGGAGCTCATTATAGGGAAATTTCGAAATTTTCCAGTGAGAAATCACTCCAGGCAAAATTCTGGAAAATTGAGTTTATTAAGGAAAATTCATCCTCCACTTTCCAATTTTTTTCTGGAAAACTGGCAAAAGATGAAAAAGAGGAAAGTCAGGAGATCATTAGAAGAAAATTTCAAAATTTTCCAATGGAAAACTAATAGAGCAAAACTTGTGAAATTATAGGAAAATTTCAAAATTTTCTAGTGAAAAATCACTACAAGGAAATTCGAGAGGAAAATTCTGGAAAATTGAAGTTTTCCTGCTGGGTTTCAATATGTCATCCCTTAAATGTGAAACCTGTTCAAAAAGTTGCATTTTTAAGAGCCGCCCAAAGGAGGATGAAATTTTCGGCTCCCCTTGCGACTTATGTCAACGACCCATCTGCAAATTGTGTGCTGAAATAACAACCACAGAAGCTCATGCTGTTTCATTAGCGCGGAGAAGTTTGTTGTTTTTTTGTCCCGACTGTAAATTATCATTGAATGATCACATAAAGGATTTACCTAATTATAGGATTCTTTTGGAGAAGTATGAAAAAACAAAGAAAGAATCTGCTATTAAGGATAAAAGCTTAGAAACACTGGAAAACAAATGCTCTGAAATAACACAAGAGCTTCGAATTGAAATTAGTAAACTTACTACGGACAATGAAGCAAAGGCTATTCATATTAAGAGGCTTAACAGAAAGACACAGGATTTTGAAAATAGTGCCACAGTGATGCAGAGCAGGAGCTTTATACTGAAATAAATAACCAGAAAGCAGAAATACTTCAACTTGCTCAAAATATTTCGGATCTTATTGACACTAATTTCGATTTGACTGCACAGCTTGAGGAATTTAAAGTGACTGATAGGGAGCTTAAACAGAATCTTGCAGATTTAACCGAGACCAACAAGAATATGTTAACTAGCATTCAAGTGTTAACACAGGACAGGGAAGCATATATAATGGAGCTGAAGAACATCAAGGCGAAGGAAGAGCTCCAATCTAGTAAATCTAGGTGTGATAGTTTGGAAAAGCATCCTGAAGCGGTAAGGCTTTCTGGTTCTTGTGCTTCTGGAAGTATCCTCAAAAATCAAGAGAATGGTGGAGGTGTCTCCAGAGAGGATGATGTGTCATGCCTCGATGATGTTACATGCTTTGATGATGTGACATGCTGTAAATCTACTGCCACAGGTGACTCATTTGTTTTATTAAACGACAATAAGGTGATAGATGATTGCATTTCCCTAGATAAAGAGTTGAAAAGTGCCTCATATCAAAGTAATGATTGTAATTTTGCTCCCAAAACATGTATTATCTGCGGTGACTCTAGTGCAAGATCCCTATCTTCTTATGGTTCTTTGTTAATGAAGTCATCGCATATATTGAAGGGTCATGTTTATACTGGTCTTGATGTCAAAAGGCTGATCGAGAGGGTATTTTTGTTGTCTTTTGCTTTGACCGAAAGAGACACAATTGTTGTTTGCTTAAACTTAAACTCTACATCACCAAACATTGGTGAGGTTAAAAAGATTGTTTCTCTGGGTAAAACAACTAACTTGATAATGGTACTGAAATGTAATTTTAAGAGTTATTCGCATGTTAAATTTTATCAAATAAATGAAGCTGTAGGTAAATATGCTAGAAGTAATAATTGTAGTATAAGATTAATTTCGAATTTGTGTAATAATGTAAAATATAGGCACTCGGTCCGGTCTTTGGCCAAACTTCTTGCTGTGTATGTGGAGACTGATGCAAGACTCCTTAGCCAAAAAATAGTCTTAAAAGTAGTTCCGTTTACTGATGAATGCAGAATTTCTCCTTGTAATTCAGACAGGGATATTAACGTTTGTGAATATAAGACTTCAAACGATGTGGCAGACGAGACTTCGGAATTGGTGACCACGGAAATACAGACAAATTGTCTGGACACCTTGAGTAGTACTAGTAAATCTTTTTTATACCAAGGGAAACCAAGTATAATTTGTCCCTAGCTTTGCTAAACATCCAATCTATCAGAAATAAGGTGAATGAATGAATATTTCTGGAATCTGTGGATTTTCCCAATATTTTAATTTTAGTAGAACATTGGCTCAAAGAGAATGAACCCCTAAATATTGAAAATTATAGTTTGTTGTCCAAATTTTCTCGTCGACAGTTTTTACATGGGGGAACGTTAGTTATGCTCCGTGACTGTTTTATGGAAAAATACAAATTTGTTAGTGTAAATAAATTTGATAACTTGTTGGAGGAAAAAACCTTTGAGTTCTCGTTAGTTTTTAGCAGTAGCTTGTCATTATATATATTAGCATTGTACAGATCTCCTCATGGAAACATTGAGCAATTCTTGGATAAACTAGAGTCCCTTGTATATTCCATTCCTATAAACTCTCGATTAATTTTATGTGGAGATTTAAATATAGATTTTTCTAAGCATTTGGACAGACATACGAAATCCTTATGTAATCTTCTAAATTCTCTTAATTTAAGTATGCATGTAAATCAGGCAACCAGAGTTACTTCTTTGTCAAGCTCAATAATTGACTATTTCTGCTCAAATTTTGGCCTGGATAAAGTTCATTGTATGGTATCCAGTGCCGGGTTGTCGGATCATGAAGCTGTACTGGGCTGTGTGGATCTTGATGTGTGTAAGAGTGGATCTTCTATAAAGAAAGGTAGACTCTACAGCAGAAAAAAATTTAATAAATTCAAATCGCTTTGTGAACGAGCAGACTTTGCTTGAGTCAGATATTCCTTTGGAGCAATTCCATAATGTATTGTGTACAAATTTCTATAGTGCTTTCCCCATTATATCCATTAAAATGGCTAAGAAAAAAATTTGGTATACAAAGGGCCTTAAAGTCTCTGGAAGGAACATGCGTGCGCTACATTATATACGCAAATACTCAATGGATAATAATAAATTTCTTGAATACTACTATAATTACCGTAAAATATATAGAAAGCTTGTGGAACTTGCAAAAAGGTCTTATTTTGATGAGAGGATTGAGAGGGCATCAAACAAATCAAAGGAGGCATGGAAAATCGTAAGCGACTTGAGAGGCAATAAGAACGTTCTTCAGGTCTCGGAAACATTGAAAGCAGATCAGCTTAACTCCTTTTATTGTTCCGTAGCAGCCAATCTGGCTGATACTGTTCCAAAAGCTGGCGATCCATTGAAGTACCTATCTCACATAAATGTATCTAACACGTTTTTTCTTGCACCTGTATGTTTGCAGGAACTAAAAGATGTTTTTTCTGAAATCAGGAACAAAACCTCTTCTGGATGGGATAAGATCTCCCTGAGGATCCTGTTAGCGCTTCCAATTAAGGTGTTGAACAGTTTGGTGGATGCCATAAACCACTCATTTCTAACAGGGATTTTTCCAGCATGCTTAAAGGGAGCAATGATTGTACCTCTGCACAAAGGTGGGAATGCTGATGACCCTTCCAACTATCGTCCTATAGCTCTGCTTCCCACATTGGCCAAGGTTGTCGAGAAACTGATCAAGACCCGCGTAATGTCATATTTGGATAAATACAACATCTTGAGTGGGCATCAGTTTGGATTTCAGCGCGGCAATGACACTGGGGATGCCATCTTCAACTTTTTCGAACATCTTTACAGGAGGATGAATGTTGGCGATATTGCTGCGGCGGTCTTCTGTGATTTATCGAAGGCATTCGATTGCGTAAATCACGGAATACTACTCAGGAAGCTGGAAAGGTATGGATTTAGGGGCAAGTCCTTGAGATGGTTTGAGTCCTATTTGTGTGATAGAGTTCAAACAGTGTCATTTAATGGTGATAATTCTCGGGAAGGGAAGATCAATGCTGGTGTTCCGCAGGGCTCTGTTCTTGGCCCCTTACTGTTTTTACTATATTATGTCAACGATCTGCCACATGTTCCTATAAAGGGGGCCTTTACTATGTTTGCTGATGACACAACTATTTTGTGGCATGGTGTAGATCTGGCAGCGTTAACCAGCAGCATTTCTCACGATCTGTTGGAAGTTAAGAATTGGTGTGATTCTAATTTTCTAAGTTTTAATGCAACAAAAACAAACATCCTATCTTTTAAATGTGTTGTTCAGGGTATTTCTATGGATGCTTTACCACTCCCAACTCTTGAATTTAACCGATTTCTGGGCCTAACCATTGACAGTTCCTTGAGGTTTGAGGAACATATATCTAAGGTATGTAAAAAAATTTCTTCTGGATGTTATGCCCTTAAGGTAATAAGGCACAATTTAGGTTTCGCTATGGCCAGAAATTCGTACTATGCTATAATAGAACCCCATCTTCGCTACGGCATCGCGTTTTGGGGTGCGTGCTCTCAATATTTATTTACCTCAGTATTTTTACTGCAAAAGAGAGCAATTCGTTATCTCTGTGCTGCAAAAGTCCACGACTACTGCCGTGGTTTATTTGGCCAGTGTGGAATATTAACCCTTTGCTCATTGTTCATCCTGGAGACTGTAACTTTAATTTTTAAAAAATATAGGAATGAACTTAACCACATTGGACCATATCCGACCCGTCATCCTTTCTCATTGAATCTTCCAATACCTCACTCTCAACTTGTTAAAAGGTCTTTTTTATATGAGGGCAGAAAACTTTTTAACCATCTGCCCACAGAGGTTAGGAGGATTAATTGCTTAAAAAAATTCAGGAGAGCAGTAAAACGGGTATTAGCACCTGGGGCATATTATACTTTGGCTGAATTTTATGAGACTGTTCTTGACTGATATAATATAGTATAGTGTGTTTTCTGTCTGGATTATTGATTTTGTCCATTTATATGCATGCATATTGTAGGTCTTCTTTATGTATTATTATTAAACTTTATGTTGTATTGATTAAGTTTTATTGACTAGTGTTTTAATTTTAACCTGCATTGTTAATTTATTATTATTTATGTCTTGTATTTAACTACTATTTTTATTTTTCTTTGTTCTCTTTTACCAAGGCTTTGTAACAACTAAGGTTTATACAATAAAGCTATTTTTGACTTGACTTGACTTGACTTTGAGTTGACTTTTTTAACCAAAATTCATCCTTTCACATTTCAATTTTTTTCTGGAAAACTGGCAAAGCAAAAATTGTGAAATTTCTCCAAAATAAAAAGGAAAGTGAGGAGCTCATTATAGGAAAATTACAAAATTTTTTAGTGAAAAATCACTCCAGGAAAAATTCTGAAAAATTGACTTTTTCAAGTAAAATTAAGGAAAATTCACCTCTTACATTTTCTAAAAAACTAGCAAAGGGAAAATTTTGGAAATTTTCCAGCAATAAGAGGAAAATGAAGAGCTCATTTTATGAGAGTTTCAAAATTTTCCAGTGAAAAATCACTCCAGGAAAAATTCTGAAAAACTAACTTTATTAAACAAAATTAAGGAGAATTCACCCTATTACATTTTAATTTTATTCTAGAAATCTGGCAAAGTGAAAATTGTAGGAAATTTTTTCAGAAGAGAGAGAAAAGTAAGGAGCTCATTATAGGAAAGTTTCAAAATTTTCCAGTGGAAAATCACTCTAGGAAAAATTCTGGGAAATTGACTTTTTTAGGCAAAATTCACCTCTTACATTTTAATTTTTTTCTGGGAAACTGGCAAAAGGAAAATTGTGAAAATTTTCCAGAAAAAAGCGGTAAGTAAAGAGGTCATTATAGCAAAATTTTAAAATTTTCCAATTAAAAATCACTCCATAAAAAATTCTGGAAAATTGACTTATTTAAGCAAAATTAAGGAAAATTCACCCCTCTTATACATTTAAATTTTTTTCTGGGAAACTGGCATCCTCTCACATTTCAATTTATTTCTGGAAAACTATTAAAGTAAATTTGTGAATTTTTTCCAGGAGAAAGAAGAAAATGAGGAACTCATTATAGGAAAATTTCAAAATTTTCTAGTGAAAAATCACTCCAAGGAAAGTCGAGAGGAAAATTCTGGGAAATTGACTTTTTTAAGCAAAATTCATCCTTTCACATTTCAATTTTTTTCTGGAAAACTGGCAAAGCAAAAATTGCAGAAATTTTTCAAAAGAAAGAGGAAAGTGAGGAACTCCATATAAGAAAATTTCAAAATTTTCTAGTGAAAAATGACTCCTGAAAAAATTCTGGAAAACTGAGCTATTTAAGAAAAATTAAGGAAAATTCACCCTTTCACATTGAAATTTTTTTTTTGGAAAACTTGCAACGGGAAAATTTTGAACATTTTCCAGGAAAAAGAGAAAAGTGAGGAGCTCATTATAGGGAAATTTCGAAATTTTCCAGTGAAAAATCACTCCAGGAAAAATTCAAAGAAAATTGACTTATTTAGACAAAATTAAGGAAAACTCACCCTCTTACATCATTTCTGGAAAACTGGCAACGGGAAAATTTTGAAATTTTTACAGGAGAAAGAGGAAAGGAGGAGCTCATTAGAGGAAAGTTTTAAAATTTTCCAGTGAAAAATCACTCCAGGAGAAATTCATTTATATATTTTCGGATAACTGAATAAACTCTATTCTAAGTTAAGAAATGTATTACAAAACAATAATTCTGAAGGTGCTCTATGAATTAATCTATGACTTAACTTTTTCTCTAAGTTATGACATCATCGATGACGTAAGTAAAAACCTTCGTGCCGTGAAACGAACTATATGTTTGTTTGAAATTTCAGACATAAAAAAAACCTATTTTTTAAAAAAAAAAGGCAAATGATGACGTAAGTACAAACCCTCGTTAAACTAACTTCAAACCCCATAAAAAAATTTAAAAAAATGGTGCTGCAGCACCCCTCAAATTGGAGCCTAGTTTCGCTTATGCATGTGGTTTGTTCTGGAAGAATAAGGATTTTTTCTACAGTATTGCCGAATCCTAAAATTTGATGAAATTTCGTTTCACAGACAAATGGTTTTTTGAAATAAAAATACTGCTACTAATACATTTAAGTGGGAAAAAATGCCTAATTCCATTTCTGAGCCTGAGATCCAGTCACGGTTTGTTCTGTTTGCTGGAAAGGGAAAGACTCTACTCAATAAATCCTGATAGTTTTTCTCTCTCTGATTGCTTGAAGTATTTTTCAGAAAAAAACCTTTGAAAAATCCAGAACCTAGAACAAACCGCATCTCGTTTTTACCTGCAAAATGTGTCAGTTTATCTAAGGACACCCTGTATAAAAAATGAATGAGGCCGAGGTTCCACAGATCAAACAGATGTGAAAAATGTATAGCAACAAGTACCCACAAACTTACCAATCAATGCAGTACAAAAGCTAAAATAGTACCCAGCCTTGGGATAAGCCTGATTAATGTAACCAGTCAACGGGATACCAAGAAGTACCGGAATCGACTTGGCACCCTGAATAAAGCTCCAGGCTTTAGTAAAATGTTTATTTTTAATACGCTCCAAAGCAAACATTTTCAAGGAATAGGTGAAACCTCCCAGGCAAATTCCATAGAGCCACACAAATAGTACGTAACCGTGATACCCTTGAACTGCACTGAGAGCTAACAAAGATATACCTAAAACAAATATTTTAACTTCAATCTGTTTTTAGGATTTCCATTAGGGTACTCACCAATTCCAATTAAAGCAGTCTGACATAAGTACTGTCTGGATATGAGGCACTGCGTGCTGGGTTTAACAGTTATCAAGCCAAAGCCCACACAGCCCAAAGCAGAAGCGAACCCCATAAAAGTTTGAAGCAGTACCAAAGCACTGTCCTCCAGTCCTTCCCTGTAGCCTTGATAAACCAAATAAAAAATCGGAGCGTAAATGCCCAGCGCACCGAATCCGCAAGCCAGCATTATCACCCGCAACCCTCTGCTTTTCAACGGGCTGAAATCGAACATTGGGGCTTTTTTGTTTTTCGAATGGGTCTTTTTCTCTTTCATTTTTCTTCTTTGGTTTTTCAGGTGCATGATAGCTCTGCGTTGCGGGTGGTACAAGTTGGCCGATCTGTAGACGATCGGTAGAAAAAATGCTAGAGCTAGGAGACCTGTGATTGCTTGGAGACCTAATCTCCAACCTAGTTTCCTAAAACGAGAGAAAATTATGTTTTTATATAGTTGGAAGTTTGAAATCAATTTTCACTTGAGTAACATGCACTTTTGGCAGGAAAAAGTCTGAAAGTTTTTTAACAAGAGCGGAAAATAAATTATTTTCAGACAAACTGTTGTATATACAGTCGAGTGTGAAAGAAACTTTCATATTGCTCTTGTATTAAATTCCAAGTACAAAGTTAAGTTAAACTTTCCGCTTATAGAAAATAAATTATTTCTCATAAAAATCCAAGCCAAGAGAGGCCAGCTGTAAACCAAATTAAATGACCCAAAATTCGCCCGGCTTCTCCCAAAAGTGATAATTTCGAAAGTTAACTTCTAGATGGCTGTTCCTCGAGCCAATGATCCGTTACAAATTGGTCTTTTGGGGAAAGATAATGCTCGAGTTTATTTCACTGTTAAATTCAAAATATTCTTACCCAATGCCTTCTTTATATAAAACAGAAAACAACGCTATTCCAACACCAGTACCAGCTTGAGCTACCATTTCAACAAACTCTCTTCTCCTCTTAAAATAATGCCCCAAAACTATGGTAGACGTTTCTCTAACAATTCCAGAACCCAAACCTATAAAAACAATTGTGTATCATATTTAACAAAATTGTGTTACTTACCAAGTACTAAACCGTAACTGAGCAAGGCCTGATGAAATTTAACGGCAAACGAAGTGAACAAACAGGCCAAAGCCATTACTAAGCCGCCTATAACAGCTGCTAGTCTGGTGGATTTTCTTCGACAAACTGCCACTATCAGGGGCGATGTTGTAAACGATACGCAGAGACATAATGCACCTAACCAGGCTTGAATACAAAGAAAATAATAATTAATTATTAGTCGATAGTGGAAAAATAAATTTGATATTATTGGGGGTATATAATAGTTATTTTCTATACTGCTTAGGTGATAACCAAATTTAATTAATCGAATAAGAATTTATTTGTGGGAATAGGTAAAACATCAAAAATTTGTGAAAATACTCCTTTGCGGTCCAAGATTGACACTTTGAACTGTTGTAGCTCAAAAATTGGAGTTCAGAAACCGAAGTTTGATACTTCTTCAGCTCAATATCAACTTAAGAACCAAAAATCAGATTTTGTTAGTCTACTTGAAATTTAAGTCCATGAGATCCAAACACAGGATCCAAAATTGAAATTTTGAACTGTCATTGTTCAGAAATTTGAGTTTACTATTCTAGGAGAGCCTGGAAGAGGATTTTCATTCTTTTCAGTTGAATTTCAGTTCATTCAGGATGCAAATTGTAACTCTATAACGGTCAGAAATCGAAGTTTGATACTTCTTTAGCTCAATTTCAACTTAAGAACCAAAAATTGGATTTGGTTAGTCTACTTGAAATTTAAGTCAATGAGATCCAAACACAGGATAGCGATATAGAAAACTGTATGAGTGAGAAAAAGATGGAGATAAAGTAGGATAAAAATAAACGTGACGCTAATTTTTGGGTATTCCTGGCGCTCGAGTGGACATAGGAAACACAATAAGAAAGAAAGAGTAAGTAGGATAAAAAATTTGTGACAGGAATTTTGATTATTCTCGTCGCTTGAGTGGCCTTTGTAATTTTTGGGTCTAACCAATCAAGAGCCCGGCATAATAAGAGAAAGACAATGATATATGAGATTTGATGGCATGAAAGCGAGATGGGGGCATAATAGATTGCACATCTCTATCGACACATATTTTCATTATTCCTGGCGCTTGAGTGACTTCAGAATTTCTATGTCTAACCAATCAAGAGCCTGGAATAATAAAGTAAGAAACTATGATATAGAAAATGGAATTAGTGAGAAAGAGACGGAGATGAAGTGGGAAAACACTAAATAATGTTTGGGTATTCCCCGCGCTCGACTCTTGAGTGACTCAATCATATGGGCTTGAGATAAGAGAGTGAGAGACGACTTAGGAAACACAATGGGAAAGAAAGAAACGTAGAGAAAGTAGGAAATTTTCGATTTTTCTCGGCGCTTAAGTGACTTTGTGATTTTTATGCCTGATCAATCAAAAGCCTGGAATGATAAGAGAAAGGTAATATAACATGAGATTCAATAAAAAAGACAAAGATAAAGACATAATGGAATTATGCCTATTTGTCTGTCAATCAAGTGTGTGGAAAAATAAAGTATGAGACAACGATTTAGAAAACTAAACGAGTGAAAAAGAAACAGAGATAAAATAATAATCTCCATTTTATTTTAATTGCTTAAGATAGAAGAGGACATTGATATTTTCCAAATTATTTTTATAAAATTCTAACCATTTTACATATCACCTACTCGGATGTATTTATAAAATTTGCAAAAACGCACCTTTAAATTTTAGTAATTTAACTGTCAAATCATTAGCGCAATTCTATCTCCATTCCGTTCTAATCGCTTAAAAAAGACAAAGATATAAATATGTACTTAAGTGTGAGGTGGAATAAGTGTAGTATCTTTGTCCTTGTCTTCCTTATCCCAATAAAATACAATAGAGATAGTATTTTCATTATTCCTGGCGCTTGAGTGATTTTATAAGTTCTGTGTCTGGCCAATCAAGAGCCCGGGATATAAAAGAAAGACAATGATATATGAGATTTAATGGCAAAGAGCGAGATGGAGGGCGGAGGCATTATAGAATAGACATCTATCGACACATATTTTCATTTCATTATTCCTGGCGCTTAATTATACCTTGTAATTTCTATGTCTGACCAATCAAGAACCTGGAATAATAAAGTAAGAGACAGCGATATAGAAAATGGAATAAGTGAGAAAGGGACGGAGATAAAGTTGGCAAAAAAAATAATGTGGCACTAATGTTTGAGTATTCTCGGCGCTTAAGTAACTCAATCATAGGCTTGAGATAAGAGAGTAAGGCGACATAAGAAACACAATAAGTAAGAAAGAGACGGATATAAAGTAGGAAAAAAATTTGTGACCAAAATTTTGAATATTCTTGGCGCTTGAGTGGCCTTGTAATTTTTGTGTCTGACAACGGTTTGACCAATCAAGCGCCTGGAATTATAAAGTAAGAGACAGCGATATAGAAAATGGAATGAGTGGGAAAAAGAGACGGAGATAAAGTGGGATAAAAATAAACGTGACACTAATTTTTTCGGCGCTCAAGTAGCTCATTCATGGGCTTGAAATAAGAAAGTGAGAGACGACATAAGAAACACAATAAGTAATAAGTGAGAAAGAGAAGGATATAAAGTAGGTTATAAAATTGTGTCACGAACTCCGATTATTCTCGATGCTTGAGTGGCCTTGTAATTTTTGTATCTGACCAATCAAAATAATAAGGGATAATATCAGAGATTTGATGAAAAAGAGAAAGATGAAGACATAATAAAATGAAAACTTTTTCAGGCACATTTTCATTATTCCTGGCGCTTGAGTGATTCTATAATTTCTGTGCCCAACCAATCAAGAGCCTGGGATAATAAAGTAAAGAGACAGCAATATAGAAAATTGAATAAGTTAGAAAGAGACGAAGATAAAGTGGGATAAAAATAAGTGTGACACTAATTTTTGGGTATTCCCGGCGCTTCAGTGACTCAATTAGGGATTAAAATCAGAGAGTTAGAGACGACATAGGAGAGACAACAAGTAAGAAAGAGACGGATATAAAGTAGGAAATGAAAATTTTTGACACGAATTTTGATTATTCTCGGCGTTCGAGGAGCCTTGTAATTTTTGTGTCCAACCAATCTGAATCCTGAATCAAAAACCTGAAATATTAAGAGGAAGATATTGATATAAGAGATTCAATGAAAAAGAGAGAGATACAGGCATAATAGAATGAAAATTTATTGAGACATAATATATTCATTATTCCTAGCGCTTGAGTGATTTCATAATCTTTGCGCCTGACTTATCAATAGCTTGGAATAATACACGAGACAGACATAAAGAAAACGGAATAAGTAAGAAAGAGACGGAGATAAAGTAGGACATTTTTGATTATTCTCGGCGCTTGAATGACCTTGTAATTTTTGTGTCTGACCAATCAAAAGCCTGAAATAATAAGAGAAAGATAATGATGTGGGAGATCCAATGAAAACGAGAGAGATAAAGAGATAATAGAATGATGCATATTAAATATACATAAATATAGACAAATTTTGTCTGACCAATCAAGTGCTTGGAATAATAAAATAAGAGACAGCGATTCAAAGAACTAAATGAGCGAGAAAGAGAAGAAGATAAAGTGGGAAAAAATCATATCTCCATTTTGTTTCAATTGCTTAAGATAAAGAAGGACAATAATAAGTATTCTTCAAATTATTTTATAAAATTCCTATGGAACCCGGGCCCTAGTAATTTATACCGGCCGCACCCCCCTATGCACGGCCCTGTTCTCCATTCGTAGGTCGATCGAGTGTACGCCACTGGTATTTTCCTGTTTCTGACTATCCCCTCAACCTTTCCATGTTAGTATGAATTTAATCCTATGTACAGTTTTTGAATAATCATGCAGTTTTGGATACAGGGTGTCCCCGTTCAACTGGTCAAAAATGCTAGTGCATATAAAGAAACCATAAAGAAGTTGTCTGAGATAGGACAACGATGGTCGGAAATGCGTCATTTCCAAAATACAGAGTGTTGAAATTTTACAAAAAAAATCGAATTTTTCCCTCTGTATCAAAAACGCTTTTAGCGATTTTAATGAAATTTCTAGGATAGGTGGTGATGCAACTTTTTAAGGAATTGCAGTTGATTTGATTTGTCCAGTGACGGACTTGCAGCACATGTGTGATACATTTTTTGAAAAAGAAAAAAATGATACGCCACTGTTTTTTCGAAAGAAAAAAAAAATCATTTAATTTTAACAGAAAATGAACCTTTTTGTTGTCTGGCGCACCGTTTTCACTTGAGAAAATTAAATCCATACCTACAAGAACCTTAAAAGTTTTCGAATATCGAAAAGTTGGAACGAACCTAATGTAAAACGCCATTATAATCAAATAGGCCGGTAATACAGATCCCTATAATGGTCTTACATAAGATTTTGCTCGCTTATTTTTAACATATTACCCGTTCACAATCCGTTCACAGGTACAGGTTTTATTTATCACCTTTCAATGCTATTTGATAGGGAAAGGTGATAAATTTACCTGCACCTGTGGACATCCGATTGTGAACAGGATATATAAAACACTATAAACACGCAAAAGGCATAATTTTATAATAATTGAATTTCTTACACTCATCTTTTAAAACTTTGGCCCCTACTCGGAAATTTAATTTTGCGGGCAAAATAAACACAGAATTCGAACCATGACACTTTTCTGAATACTTTAGAGTACTTTTCCCGATTGAAGTCCTGGAAAACTGGAAAATTCAACGAAAAACCAACAATAACAATAAAAACGTGTAGCCATTTTGAAACAACAATGTAGTCATGCTCATTTGTCACGAGATGGCGCTGCAATCGCAATTCCTAAAAAACCACCCAAAATCAAATAAAATAATTAATTAGGACTTAATTGAGGCCTAATTAAGTCAAATTGCATCAAAATTAATAGAATTATGAGTCTTTTATAATAGGTTTTAATCAAGTAGGCTTTGGATATTATAATGGCAATTTTGACATTTGACAGTCACAAGTGAAAAATGGCCAACGCGTTTTTATGTCGGCTGCCGGTTTTTCGTGAAATTTTCCAGTTTTCCGGGACTTTTCAATAGGAAAAATTACATTAAAATGTTCGGAAAATTGTCGCGGTTCGAATTCTGTGTTTGTTTTGCCCGGGAACTTTGAGTTTTCCATGAGAACCGCAGTTTAAGGCGTGAGTACAAAAAAAAAA